TGAAAGTCTGCTAACTTAAATGACACTCCTCTATCATAATTCTACAACTTGAAAATAAAAAAATATTCAAAAACAAATTAGTAATAATTAGGTCATGATTTAGACACAACCCTTAACTTTTTTGGATGTGCAATAAATGAGCAGATCTATTGTTCAATGCTCATGTCCGTCATGTTAGATTCCATTGCGCAAGCCAAATCGCTATGACGTCATACAACCTCAGAAATTTCGAAGTTAAGAAGCAAATAACAATCAGACGATTTGCTTCTGCTTATTCTTCTTGAATTCCGAAATCATCTGTTTCTAAGTGCATTAGTAAAATTCATTGGTAGCATGCGTCACCGTGCCTAAATCTTCGGTTTTTCATAAATATCAACTGTATGGTGAGAAAAATCTTACCATATCTTTTATTCCTTCACTTTCAATACAACCAACCGGTGAACACTCGTGTTTATTTCAGTTACCATGGAGACGTAATTTGTGATTAGCCCCGGTCCCTTTCAAATTGTATCATTATTTATGAACGGTTCTTATATTTGAAATGACGTTTCACATCAATCTAGTGATGTCCGATTTTCATTCGAATAATCGTTTAATCAATTAACGAACCGAAAAGTAAACTATTTATAATCGGTTACATCATGCCGATATAAGCATTAACATCACCACAGGATCATCACCGATCGTTTCAAACATGTGCTGCACTCTCATTGGTATAAAAATGGCAGCACAGCGAACAAAAAATAATCGATTACTTGTTAATCGAGTAATTAAAAAATGGGACATCTCTGACTTTGGTGTGATTGTTTTGATAAAAATGAGCGCAAAATTTCATCTCTTCCGAGGGGGCAGCAAAACCACAAAATTACCTTGAATACGGGGGGTTCTCATTGGATGAAAGGGACCGTGAAAGAAGACACTAAAATAGAAAGTTTTTCTTCCGACAGTTTCATCTTAGTATTCATCTTTGATACAACCGCATATGTGACGTTACATCTAGTAATAAGAATGTCATAATCAGCGATTTCGGCCTTCAATCGCTCCAATAATGCACAGTAATACCATACCGTGCCCAACTTTTTGGCTCAGCTCTGGTACTATCTTCGGTCCCAAGCTAATCGATGCACCCCTCGAAATATAGGAAAATCCACGAACCCCTCATTTTATCTGTAAAACTTTCATAGCGAATCAAAACAAACATAGTGCAGCACTGCAATTTATACTAGAATGGGGTGCGTTAATCGATTTGCTTGTGACCAATAGGCTAGTCAAGTAGTGAGCCAATTTAAAATCGCTAGTTTCGTATTGATTGTTGGTAATACTAGCTGTTGATGGTTTTTCCTTTTTCGATGTAGTCCACGAAGAGTATGCCATGACAATCCCAGAAAATCGACGCCATAACCTTACCGACCCATCGAGCCTCCCTTGGCCGCTTCGGAGCACTCGTGCCGGCTTCAGTCCATTGCCGGGCACTCATTATGTACTCTGTCCAATGTAACACTAATTGATTATGTCATTGAGAAAAATCGTCCAATGTAACATGTCCGATGCACAACTTAACTAGTCAAAACGTCCTATGTGGTTTTTGCTATATTGTAGCATAAAATTCAAATCAAAATTGTGATTTTACCGTTTCCACTGAATTTTCAACGTTATTAGTCACTGACTACATTAAAAATAGTATTGTCGAACTTCAACTTCGATTTTCTCAAAATGGTGGATATGTTACATTGGTCTATTTGAAAAGTAACGCGAGATTTTATATATTTTTTGACATTGTCCTCTGTAACCGCATCGGAGGGCCTGCCGCTGCGGACTTGATCGGTAGTGGAGTTGCGGCCACCACGAAACTCTCGAAACCAATATTTGACGGTGTAATCTGACGGAGTATTAGCCCCATAATAATTATCCAACTTTCCTTTTCTTTCCTTTACCGTTTTGCTTATCAAAAAATATTTTTTTATGAGAGAACGAAAGTCGTTTTTATCCATACTCAACATTATGCCAAACACGTCAACAACAATCAGCTGTCGAAACAAAACTTAAGACAGTATCGCACTGAAATTTGGCATGTCTTAAAGGTATGAACGGACTACAAGGCACCATAACCTTTTTTGCAGTAGCAGCGCATTCTGGCGGTCAAGGAGGTTACTTTTCACCCCACTAGTATAGATTCAAATATATTACATTAACAATATGATCCACTCTTTCGCTTACCTGTCGAACCCAATTTTTAGCCATGAAAGCACCTCTGTGGCCAAAAAGGCTACCAATGTATTTGTTTATCGTCACGAGGGGTAAACCAAATTAAAATTTGTTTAATATTTCAAATGAATTTATTTCAGCATATTATTTTATTTGACGACAACAGTGACATGTCAGACAAATGTTAAAGTAATATACACAATGTAATTTATGAAAATAATGTGACTCTTACTTTTGTAATAAGTTCTATATTTGCACCCCTCGACTGTAATTGAATGATTGTTGCTGACCTTTTTCAACGCTAGATGGTGCGTGAAGCGATATTTTGCGGGTCGCCATTGCAATATTTGGAAAAGGCATGAATTGATCATATTGTTAATATGATATATTTGATAGATTTGAAATGAAGTTTATATTCATTTTGTGTATTCGAGTGCGTGAAGTTGTGAAATGTAACGAAGAACGCAAGTAAGCAAATGCAGTGAAAGTGTTATCCATGAATTTATCGCTGTAAAATCAGAAAATACTTGCTTTACATTATCGGATGACTAGCTTTGCGCAGTGGCAATATCGTAACCAATGCGGCACAACCGAGGTGCGATTATAGTTTGTTGGAAAAAAATAATTATCGGATGACTATTGTTTGCTATTTGTTCTATTGTATGTGTATTCTAATGGCGATGATTGAAGAATATTTCAAAGAAGAATACAGGAGGAGTGATGGTGTCTTGAGCCGCCGCGAAAAAATAAATGTGCATTGGTTGGTGAGAATTTCAATCATCTGAGTTCGAATGCATCGTCAAGTTGTTGTGGGACCAAGTCGATGGTGAAAACAGTGGCTGCATAAAAGTCACTTGTGGAGTTGTTTGTCGGCATTTCTGCCGAGCGCTGCGCAATTAAGAAAAATGCCAAGCCTGTACAAGGCTGTTTGAACCTCGTTACAAATGATGGATGAAGAGCAACAAATTTATCTCAAAGGCACAAATCTGGCGGATTTGAACGTTGTGCCCTTCAAAGCTGGTTTAAATCCAATGTGAATAGACTTAGCGCTGTCTTACGACTAGCTGGAGAATATAGTTTTTAGGGAGTAGAAGGACCACCATTAAATTGATAGAGGTCGATCACCAAACGAACGAAGGAAAAATGGATAAGACATCCCAAGGGTCACCTAATGCTGCAGAATATCCACCAAAACAAAAGGGTAGGTCACTCCGCATACCGAAGGTATGCGTATACCCCTCTGATCACGTATGTGTATGCCCTTCTGATCACGCCTTGCTGTGTAAGAGAAGTAAAGCCGTTGGTCTCCGGTTCATGAATTGATGGGTCGATAGATAGGGTCCAGGTGTGGGAACTGCCTCCGTGGCGTCGGTAGCATTGGTGCTCAGCACGGAAAACAAAATCAACGGAAAACAAATCAAGGAAAAAAACTAATAAACTAAATGTTTGATAGGGAAAATGGCTCTAATGTTGGCCTATGGATCAAAGATTGGGCCCATCGCAAAAATCTACTATTTTTTTTTTTTATCTAGATAACGGTACTAATGGATATTTTTGGTCTTGAAAATTTAGTCGATTTTTGAATTTATGTATGGGCCCAAATTAGGGGCATTTAGGCCGACATTACATCCATTACCCCTACATTGGGTATAAACATAACGGAAATTGTCGGTTTTCAGAAGGTTAAAACCGATATTTCGGTATTGCATAATGGCACGGTATAACCGGTAAACTGGTTTCTGTAAAACCAGTTAAACAACCCTACTGGATATAGAGATATAGAGAGTAAGTCGAAGTGAAATGAAGTATGCCAAATTAATGCAACACCCTACCTATGGAGACATAAGTTGACACTCGAGACGCTTAATTTCAGATTATTTTGTTTTTGTGGAACAAAGACGTGCATGTTGAATTGGCTGTTCATCCACTAATTTCAGTAATTTGTTATCTCTGTTATTATCTCAAATGGCTCTTTGATAGCTGCACATTTCCAGGACTGACTATGCTACGATTTGCTTTGGGCATACCAAGTTTATCATTCCCACCAAGATGAAATGCCACATAGTTTATGTAAAAGGAAAATTCTCCAAAGAAGCTTTGTACCGTACCGTGGAAAGTGGATGCAGACAGCAAAAGAAAAGCCTGCAACCAACAAATGACAAAGGTCAGAGCTAGAATAAATAACTGGGAAGATAAAAATCGGTTGCCTGAAGCAACACACAGCAGAACCAACTTTCCTTTCCTAGACTCCGATACACCTTCCAGTAGAAGCCTACGACGACAAGGAGGGATGCGGATGGATCGCAGGCTCCCAGGCAGAGCTGCTTTCATATTTTTTGTGCGTACATTGAGCGAGGAAAAACGATTTGAGATTCTGCTGCAATCTCGGTTTCTCCATATATATTCGTTCTTTTTCCTATGCTTTTAAGATTTTATCGGGCACTGCGGGCTATTTTTATAATCTGTTCTTTTTTTCTGCTTTCTGATTTCCTCTTTCTGATAGGGCAGCACGATTTCATTAACCTTATCGCTGGTGAGAAATCGGAGTGTTTCAGTGTTGGCTATTATTTACTCATCCTGGCATCTTCAACTATTTTGATTCGCCAGGATGATACCGAAATAATTGAGCGAATCACAAAACAAAGTTCATTGATTCTATCTGGTGTTGAGAAAATCATTAAGATGTACATTTATAAGGTCTAATCTCCTAATACTTGACTCCATAATTTGATTATACTTCTTAATTTACGGAAAGAAAATTGCCTTACATTATGTGTCCCATGAGCTTTATTTGATTTCGTTTATTACTGAGTTTTGAGTTACGAGCTTTCTGTCCGGCATGCTCATAAATCTACTGGGGACTAATTCTGCTGAAGTAACTATCTTTCGGAGCTACCAGAAAGAACACGTTCTGCTGTTTGTCGTTCCTGACTTCTTCGGACTTCTAATTGTATACGTACGCTTCATTACGTTCTCCCCTTGGTTTCTATTAGTAGCGGAAAAGCGAGTGGTTCGCGCGTGAGTTGTCATGATTGATTTATGTTCTGCTTGGAGCTTGCCTTACATGCATCCGGTTTTCCTCCGCCGGGTGGTCACTGGAAGTATCTCAAAACGAGACGGCAAAACAGCAACCAACCAAGAACCAAAAATGCCGAGCGCAGTAGAATTAATCCACTTAAAACTAATGGATCAGATGGTAGAACGTGACTTTACTGTTGATCACGTGCTTTTAACTTCCCGCACTATATAAAGACTGGAAGCCGAGTAACAGGCATGAAACTGTGTAAGGAAAGTTATCTTCTATCTTTGTTCTGTTTGCTGTAAGCTGTTCCGATCTAGTTGGTTTTGATCTCCGGTGGAAATAATTCGCAGAAAGATGTTAACACTTTCCATTGAATCTGTTGGTCCAGTAGTGGTGAAAGGTTAAACTCATGTCGCTGCTATAGGTTGGATCCAGGCCATCGTTACCGTATAAAGGGCCATTGGTTGATACGGTGGTCGCAGAGGTTGCGTTCCTGGAAATAAATTATGAAATACAAGTCTTAGTAATAATGATAATAATAATAATAGTGTGAATTACGAATAAATTTCCTATACGCTTTCGCTTTCTCGAGGATTCGATGAAGTAATCTAAATATATAGTATCTATATTGTGGAAACCTTACGAGGGACGATTCAAACCTTATACCGTGAAGGTGGGTTTTTCCGCGCACTAACCGCAGTAGTAAAGTTTTTCTCTACAGAAAAGGGAAGAAGAAAAAAGTTACCATCAAATGTATCATTTGATAGATTTGTTTATCGTACTTTCATTAAAAAATGTAAGATTTGTTACAATCAAGACCAAAACACCAAAATAATCCTCGCAAAATGATCTGATGGTGCATTTAATTCCGCGCAATGATTAGAGCGATGCTTGTTATTCCGCCCCACAATGTACCTAATTCCGCGCACTTTTATTGAACTGAAATCTCATTAGTTTCAATATATAAAGCTGTATTGTCTTGGACAGGCATACCAAAAGTACCGCCTTATGACAGTATTCCAACGGCTGTCGCCTTCTTTTTCCTACGACAGCCTTGAGATTGAGCTACAAGCGACAGCTCACAGTGAGGCTGTCATACGACATGCAACGACAGCCTCTCGTACTTATTCATGTAGTTTGTTCGTTCGGCTATGACAGCCTCGGATGGTCATTTGTAACGTTCCTCGTACATACAAAAAGCAGTCCGTCAAACTGCCGATTCGTTCACACTTAGATTTTTTTGCCGAGATTGGCACCACCGAGCAGGCTCTGCATTTATTTGTACTGAAATCTCAGCAAAATTTATGTTTGTTATCCGAGATCTCGGCAAAATTCCCGTTTGTTAACTGAATCTCGGAAAATTTATAATAGCAAAATAGATTGCCGAGCGGCTCGGTGGTGCCCATCTCGGCAAAAAATCTAAGTGTGTTGCTGCTGTCTTTGAAATTTTGTTCGTATGTCGTGAGATTGCTACTACACTACCAGTGTGACGGCGAAGCTCGTTCACGTTCGTGCGCCCATTGCAAAATTTTCATCCGTGTTTTTAGAATCGCGCGGTCTTGAGCAGATCAGACATTCCGACATTCCGGCGAAAAATATAAGCCTACCCGACACCAACTTGACTTCAACCAAACCCCAACCCGACATAAAAATAGAATTGACTCGATATCGACCCGGAATTTGGCCGACGTAGATCATAAATTGACCTTACATTAATCCGAAATCAGGCTGACATGTCTGTTCGGGATATTTTTTTTTTGGGTTTCTTCCATAATCCACTGCCGTATATCAATTGTATATAATGTCTTGTGACAGCCACTTGGGTAAGCTGAGGGATGTCGTCGGTTTGTGAAGGCTGTCATGGCGACATAAACATTGAAAACCTGGTCATAAAGAAATGTATAAATACAGCTCATTCGGTTCACTACGTTCCAAGCACGATGATTTTAGCAAAGCGGGTGTTCTAATACAGCTTTCATTCGTTCGTACGTGCGCTGTTGCCAATACACTTCGAATTCAGATCTGAACGTACGGTAGCAAGCGGCAGTAACCCGAGAAAAGTTCAGCATTAAAATGACAGCAAATTGAAATCAAGTTTTGATATCAACATCAAACTGAAATCATAATTTGATTTCAGTTTACGCAATTGACAAATTTGATAGGGGAAATGACGGCTTCGGCATGCCAGACTATTTTTGGCAACCCAAATTGAAACACTATTTTCACTGGATTTTCTTACGAAAACACTTCGCTGAATGCATGCAAACGATTCTTTATGCTTTCAGCTTCAATTTGACTATATTTTTACCACTGAGAAAAAGCAATCTAGCAAGGTTTTCTTGAAATTAAACACACGCACTACAAATTGTAGCTGATTTCGAGTTGCCGATAATAGAACAGCAGATTTACATGCAGTTCAAATGGAACGGTTGCCGAAGAAAAACTGGTTGCCGACAATACTCGCTCTCACTAGAGAATATTGGAGCTCTGTAAAAGCGTTTCAAAACAGTTTTTGACAATTCTTTCGACTGAAATTGTAAGAGCAGCTGGCAGCAAAAGATTGTAAACAAACCAATACTGCATATGTGTGCGTTCCTTAGAGAAAAAGGCTATAGAAAGAAGGTCGCTGCTTAGGTTGCCGAGAATACGTAAATTCCCTAAGGTGGTTAATTGGAAGGTAAATTGGAAGGTAAATTGGAAGGTAAATTGGAAGGTAAGGTAAATTGGTAGAATCATCTGAAGAAAGTCGGAAGCCAGAACGCTTACGGAACAGTCGTAAGAAACAAGAACATAATTCCGAATGAACGAGATTCCTGGGGGATTCAAAAAAACATCCCTGAAGACTTCGAAATTTCCCTGAAGTTTTCGGAACATTCCTGAAATGCAGGAGTGGAATATTCCATAATTCCTCGAAATTCCTTAAAAATTCTTGTAATTTTCCTGAAATTAGGAGCTGTTTTGGAGTTCTCTGGGCATCCTCGAAGCGCTCGAAACTTCCCTGATTATAATAAGACTACCGGAATATCTCTAATCATCTTAGAAGGTCTGTGGACTTTCTTGGAGATTAGGAAATCTCTTAAGTGTTCTCACAATTTTCATGAATTTATTGTAACATCAGCATTGAAGTTATCTGATCTTCCTGATTTTTTTTAATTTTTAAAAGTTATAGACGCTTCCATTAAAAAGCATAGAACTTCCCATAAAATGTTCTCACAATGATCTAATGTTCACGTAACTTCCCTTACGTTTCCTAAATTTGCATGAACATTGCTGAAGTTTTCGGAAATTGTCTGAGTTTTTCGAAACTCCTTTATAATTTTAACCATTTCATTGAAATTAATTGATCTGCCCTGATGTTCTCTGACTTCACTAAAGTTCCTAAAAACCATTAAATTTCCCTGATGTTCTTGTTGTTTCCTTAAGTTCACTGGAGTTCGCTGGACTATTCTGAAATTTCCGGGTATTTGTATTTTAAGAGAAGTTAATGAAACTTTAAATTATCGAAACTTCAGAACTTCTTAAATGTGCCTGCAGCTAGTGTGGATCCGCAATAAAAATCTGATAGCATCCTTGAGGCTCCGGGAAAGTTAAAAAAAAAAACTGGCGGGAGAAGATGAAAGAATCATTCGAGCGAAGGCTGAAGAAGCTTCCAAGGTAAGGTGGAAGAAAATTCCAGGGAAAGTTGGACAAAACTTCAGGAAGTTTAAAAATGAATAAAAACTTCCGGAAGTAAAACAAAGTTTAAAAAATATTTCTCGATTGCCTAGGAATTACCGGAAAAGGCCATCGACTTTTTCTCGATTGATGGGTAGCCAAAAACGGTGAGGAAACGCAAACATTAGTCGAAAGAGTATCAAGCATAAGGCATCTTTATAGATGATTGTTTAGAATTTTGAAGGCTAAAAAAATATGAGGTATTCAAAAAGATACAAGTCACTCAAAAAATTTTCTCCGAAATTCGAACGCGGGCAGGCGATGATAGTTTTGATTATTTAAAAAAAAAACGGTATAAATCGGTATAAATCTTAAAAATCGGTATTCTGAGGAACCTTATCTGTATATCGGTATCTAGTTTGGAAATCAGTATAAATACCGATAAATCGGTATAACTGGCAACGCTGGTTGAACTGGGTTAGACTAGAGTCGGTGTATAATGAGTCACGCCAAGAGAAAAACAGTTGAACTCGCATCACGATTTTCGAAGGATTCCCTTTCTTTTCACTTGGCAACAGAGGACTTCTACATCAACTTCAAATGACTTCTAGCGAGAACAAAAAATAGCGGCTGTAGTGAATCATTATATCAGTGATTTTGTCAAATCATCTTATCAAACAATAGTAGAAATTCTCATTACTGATCATTAGCAAACGTATCCCATGACAATTTAATGCTCACTGCGTGTTTATGATCTTTTCTTCAATTTTTTTTTATATTTTATTGCAATACCTTTCGTGGACCTTTCATAGCATCGTAATGTTTGTTTACTTTGCACGATAGGTAGCCGGTTTGACAGTTCAATAGGTAGACTTGGCTTCACTCTTGGCGTGACTCATTATACACCGACTCTAGGTTAGACTAGAGAGGGTCTAGTATAAGAGAGGAGTGGACTGGCTGGTTTTGAGACAAACGAACTGTCAAAGCCAGAGCCAATCGAGCAGCACCTGTCTTGATTGCATTTGCAGTGTTGCTAGCAGAGTTGCTTCCACTCACTTGCTATAAAAAATGATTTTATGAATTTTGAAATCATTCGATGTTATAATGATATTTTGTACTTGTTAAATACAAGAAGCGGATGAAAGGCAAGTGTTTGACTCATAAAACCTGTCAATTTCGCTACCAGAGTGTTACAATAAGCGATTTTATGATTCGTGAGCGGTCCTACATATGGGTGTTTTTAGAACGGGGACGACGTGTATAGGTAGAAAATAATTAATTAATTTATCTTTATTAGGGAGGCTTTCAGCCTTGGGCTGGTTCGCCTCCAACGGTAAAAAATATTGCTGATTGCATCTGAACCTAGACTGCTCCAAAAATGCATAAAAGTGTGATAAAAGTTCATGTTTGGGTCAAATCGTTTTGGTGCCTACGAAGCACTTAGTACACTGCAACAAGTTTACAAGTAAATACGTGTGATATAAATCTTTAATGGGAAAATGATAATTAATCCCATAGATATGTTCTCCAAGTGAGCACCGTTGTATTTAACGCATATAAATCTTTTTAACTGAGATTCCACAGTAAAGAGTGCCACATCAAATTGCATCACGGAAAAAAAAACGCTGTAGAAAATTACCCATTGGGTATTTTCTTTTGAAAATTTGGGTAGAAGTAGTTTAGAGTGTATTGTTTGCACTGTATTTTTATTGTTGTCAGTTTCGCGTCACCTGAAAAATCCTCAACTCTCTCATCGCGACATCGGAAAACAACTTGGAATCGTGAAGTCACCGGCGAGTCGTGTGATTAAACGTTACTACGAAACTCTGAACATAGAAC